CCCACACTGTGAATATGTTTTCATTGTCCATAATTTTTTGTATAACATCAATTGCTGTATCAGTAAAAATATGATTCGACCAGTAGATAACTGGAAAATAGAAATAGTTTTCAAAGAGTAATAATAAATATTTTACTTTTTTGATCCGTAGCTTCAGAATTATAGATTTTCGTTTGTATCGATTCGAAGAGAACTTTGATGTCACGATAACCAGTTTTTACTTGAGACTTCATACCAGTCAAATTTAAGACAGCTTTTTGTGGTAATAATTCAATCGAGCATGTTATATTATATGTTTGAGATAAATATTGTTGCAATTTTGTACGAAACGTTGAATTGTTGAAAAATTTTACATTGATTCGATTATCTTCATGAGACAGAGAACAGCTTTTTGTGTAGGTTACATCAGTAGTTTGGTCACCTATATGAACTTCGTCTTTACTTGTAGCAATCATAGATGACGACATGGATATTACTGAACTTCGACTACTACAATTGAGAAAATGGATATAAGAGATGAGCTCCTTGTGTAAATAGCCTACTCGTTCCTTCGTCCGCTCAACTCTTCACTATGCTTTATTTTCCATTCTTGCAGTTTTTCTTTGAATTTTTTAATGGTTTTCTTAGCTTGCTTTTCGTCTTGATCACTTGCGGACAACAATTGAACGATGGCATCATCAGTCAAAGTTAGTAGAGCTTTGCCATCAATACGTTTACCTAGAGTAGAGTGATGGTGTGGGCGTGGGGAAGGGTGTAGGGTGTGGGTAGGTGTGGGTGGGTGTGGGGTGTGGGTGAGGGTGTGGAAGTGGGAGTGGGTGAGGATATGGGTGTGGATGTGGGTGTGGATGTGGGTGTGGATGTGGGTGTGGGGTGTCGGTGTGGACACCCATCCACACCCACACTCACACCCTAACAAAGGTTCGATTTTTTGTCAATGTTTTTTTTATAAAAGATTTCAAGTCAATAACACAAACTTCTGTATTAAAACATCATTTTACGTACCCTTGAATTTTCTGACGAATAGTTCAAAGCCAACATTTTTCAACCATTCTTCCACTTGTTCACTCGTCCAATTTGCCATTCAATACAGTTATTATTAAAAAATATACTCTATTCGTTCCAAATTTGTTCAATCCTTCTTGACACTCAAATGTTGTCACCTTGAATAGGTGGAAAAAAATGAAAAATATATTCGAATTACTAAAGTGTGCATATCATATTTATGTCGACAATGTTGTTCCTCGATTCCAAAATATTAGTACAATTTCGCAAACCGAAAATCAGCCTCAGTTAAATAGGATCGGCTCTGTTTATAGATTTTCATGAAAATTAATTTCCATCTCAATTTGTAAATATCTCAGTTTATCACTAAATCAGGACGTGACATGCTCTGGCCATGCTATCAATTCAAAACAGTACTCATATCCCTACAACCTATCATTTAATTCTAATAAAAGATTATGTAGAGCGTCGATAATATGTAATCCATACTCGTTTCCGTTTATAAGTTCAGTCGGTGGCATTGAAATTGAATATATGTTAGAATACACGAAAAACATGGTCGCCATAGAGCAAAAATCGGCGAAGATAAGCTGAATTTTTATTTTTTTATTTTTCTTCACTGATTCAAAATCAACCGAAGGGAGTAAATAAAACATGAAATCTACTCTATTTGATGTCTCGATAGAAAGCAAAGGTGCGATTCTCATTTTTTTACGTTACAAGAATTTGAAAATAAAGAACAAAGAGATGAGAGAATGAAAATGAAAAATTTCACACTGGTTTTTTTTGCAATCATCAATTTCGTCGATTTGTAGTCTGGTAGATGAAAAATTCGAAAAAAGATCTTCTTTATATAGAGCGATTGTGAAATTCACTATAACATAGTAGGTGTAAGTTTGAATCCAAGCTTGCTCTCTGGTATTCTTCTCATCAAGATACACTTAAATTCAAATGAAAATTAAATCGCTTTTTAGGAAGAGATATTCAACTTGATATAGCGAAAAATATGCTTCAAGTGTCAAAGTGTTGACTTCTAAACACTGAACTGCTGAAGTGAACTTCAATATAATGAGATTGAGATGGTATAGCTGAAGATGAAAACATGGTTAAGATGAGGATGAATATCAAAGTAACCGTCTTTACACACATAAGATAGTTTTTAGTTCGCTATGTTTAGTATACTTGATGCTTTATCCTGTTTTTGTTTTATAAATGAATATAGACTTCTTTATGAAAATTGGAATTTAGTATTCATTTCTCAGTAAAGTAGATGGTGCTAAAATATTTCTTCTTTGCTATTTATCTGCAAAATATGTAAAGATAAGAGTAATGTACATGAAAATGACGAATAATCAACACTCTTGAATGTTTTGGACATGAATAAAAAAGACGAGACCAATTACTTACCACTCTTAAATACAATAAGCTAAATGTTTTCTTCACAAAATGTCTAGATAAATTTGTTCGCTTATGAATGTTATTCGCTACTTCCTTTGAGACAATTGTATTTTTTTGCGTCGTAAAAGAAAGAAAAATGAAAAGAGAATAGAAAGAACTTTTCACTGTTATTTTGGATTGTTTTGCATTCTTTCTGCCGTAGAAAAAACTGTTTACAATTTACATTTCTTGAGAAGAGGCTGGAGAAGACTGAATGTAATCAGAACTATTTTGCTTCGCTTTCCACATCCTTCACTCAATGATGAGAGTCCTTTTTTTCTTCTATCATTTTGTCTGGCGCATTTTTGGTTCTTTTCCGTTGACAATGATCCTTCTATCGCACTCTATTACACGAATCATTTTCTCTTAGGTTTTTCTAAGATTAAAAATGTTAACAGATGGTACAAATACAATACTCTATACGATCAACAATGATATTCAAAAAAAGTTTTTTAAGAAGCCAGTATTTTGTTTACGTTTACAAGAATACTTGCAAAACTTACTCTCAATAGAAATTGCGATAATTCCAACGGAACGGCAGGGTCACCGGTGGCATTCAGATTATCATCTATCTGGCTACAAGATTAATTTATTGGGTATGCACGAGAATAGAATAGAATTGCAGGAGGCTGTCTCAGACTTTTTCAAAAATCTTTTCGAAGCAATTCAATATCAAACATTCAATGATCAGGAAGGTATGTAAATTTAAAATAAGTTCACTAGAAAAAAGAAGAATAAGTTTCTCTTTGGTTTTTTTCGTTTTTTAATACTCTTTGGTTTTTTTTTATAGTTAAAGAGTGGCTTGGGGATCTGGTAACACAAACAAATAATCTTAAATTTCTTGAAAAACTTATCGACAAAGAAGTCCATAATTTATTTTGTGTGTGTGAAAAAAGTGAAGAAAATGCATTAAAAATTTATTATTTACCGAGAGAACTATATGGTGTTCCTGATAGCGAAGACCTGGATAGATTTATTCGATGCAGAATTTCACAGGAAATAATACGAATACAATTTCCCTATGAACAGTCCATAGAAATTGTGAAGGAATCAAAAAAGATAGCAAGAAAAGCAGAAAAAGACGGTAATATTTGTGTTTCTTTTACCCATAAATATTCAGGGTTGAAGTCAAGACCATGTATATTCGTTTTATTTGGTTATCAAGAAGCTGTAAAACAATTGAAGGATGATTTATTAAATGTAATCGCCAGACGTAATGTGATAAAGTTTCAACTAAAATCACTCGACGCCCTTCAGGTAAACAATCTTTTCCTTGTTTGACTATGACTTATGACTATTTTTTGCTATTATTTAGCTTGAGTTTCTTCACAAAAATTGTTCTAGAAAAATACGAGAAATTGAAAAAAACTACGAACAATTCGGTGTTAATATACAATTACTATCGAACGAATTTTCTGCACCTCAAAATCTGAAAGATGAAATTGAATCTTGTATTAAACAACTACTGTCACAATCAACGTCGACAACATTCAAGAGTATACCATTATCCAAATGTGTAGTTGACATAGCCGAAAAACACTTAAAAAATATTGCACACAACTGTCATTGTTATATAATGACCAAATCAAGGTGCAAATCTTGGTGCTACACAGTACCAAAAGCCTCGTCGTCCACAACACAAGTTGCGAAATCAATAGTGAAGCAATCTGATGATTTTATTTCTTCACCGCATGTGTTTAGCAGAATCGTTGTTTCGAACGGATCTATCGAAATTCGTACAGGAGACATAGCTCTACAAAAGGTAAGTTTGAAGAGTAATGTCAACTCTTAGTTTACAGTGTTCTTTTAGGTTGATACAATTGTCATTCCGACTACATTCAATGGACTAAAGGAGGGTGTAATTGAACGAGCAGGTGCATTCAATCATGAGAATACTTATAAAGATGAAGCTGGTACAAAGTTTACTGAGACCGATGGGGGTAAGTTGAGTTGCAGGAAGATCTTATTTTCCAACTGGATACCATCCAGAAGTACCAATGACGCTGATTTGAAAAAATCAATACAAATATTTATTTCAAAACCCATTCAATATGCCATAAAAGAGGACCATCCAGCATCAATAGCATTCGTCGTACCAGATTCATGCATCAATGAAATCATTCTAGCTCAAGAAATGATTGATACAACACAACAACTGCTACAGTCTACAAATTTAGAAATGAAAATTTCATTTATCCTATTACCAGAACAGCAAACTTTGCTCAATCAATTCTTCGCCATAACTGGAACGATGCGAGATACTTATGCACAATTCGACTGGTCATATTTAGGTAAGATACGTATGAAGGAGGTGATTATTTTTTGAATTTTCCATTCTAGTAATGAAAATCACGCTTATTGGATCTGAACCTGAAGACTTGACGAAATGTCAGGAGAAAATAAATAGCTATTGGAAACGATGCACTAATTCACAGATATTGAAAAATCCTAATGGTATCTTCCAGTACTGGGATCAATTCACAATAAATGCGTTTTATAAGTATTGCGAAGACAGATGTGTTTTACCACAAATCAATCAGACCAAAACAAAACTTGAATTAATGGGTCCTGTGAACAATGTTCTTGAAGTTCAACAAAAATGGCGTTTTCTTTGTGATTTAGCAGTAGAAAAATTACAATGGCCACCATCAACTGAACGTCTAAGTTCAGCAGCTATTCGTTCAGGACGACCTTCTACTGGAGCTGCCATCAAACACGGTAAAGTCTACAATATTATGGTCAGTTATTGTCAGGAAGACAATAGAGTGTGTCAATGTCTGATCGACAGCCTAATGGACGAAGGTTTTGCAATTTGGGCACAGCCGGTAGTCTCCGACGAACAGCGTGAAGTTTCCTCTGCAATCGACAAATCTGATTGTATTATTCTGTGTATCAGTGAAAATTATTACGAAAGTTCGTCGTGTGAGAAAGAAGCTCGATATGCTTTTCAATCGGGCAAACCAGTTTTCCCGGTGAAGATTCGAAACGACCTACTAATTGGCTGGCAGCGAGAAGTTTTCGAAGGAAAATTATTTTTTCAATTATTTGGATCAGAAAACTATTTTGATTTGGAATTCAGCAAGTTACTACTTGAAATAGTGTGTATTTTTGAACTATCCATTCATCTTTAACTTTTGTTTTTCTTCGATAGTTGCACTTTACCAAACCAGGCTATGCTTTTCTTCTTCAGCAAAAATCTGATTGTCAGCAAAGAAATAAGAGTGAATATCAAACTTTAGTGACAGTCGAACAACGGCGGTCTATGTACGAGAAGAAAATTAGAACACTTATGAAAATTGGACAAATCGAAGAAAAAGAAATGAAAATTCTAATTCAACAGGCCCAAAGTGTTATCCGTAACACGGATGAAGATGCAAGTGAATCAGACGAAACAACTCAAAGAACCGATTATGATCGCGACAACTATACGAATGATACAGGTAAGTTTATTATCCGAACTATTTACGTAGATGAAACATTAATTATCGCTCTGCTAAATTGAAAATTATTAAATATCTTTATTTCACGAACGCATGAACGACTGAGTTTCTTCTTTCTCTGAAACATTTCATCTTCTTTGTTAACAGCGCTGGCGAAAACGATAAAACGTTGGTTAAGAAAACCTACGAATATTACAAAACAAAATCTACCACCATTTTCACCAAGTGGCGATATCAATGATGCTGTATTTCCAATACCTGAATATGTGTTAAAGTATTTAGAGTCTCATGTCGAATCATTTTCACAAATGCAATCTTCTTCAATGAAACTTCGATATACCTTCGAACATGATATCTTTAAACGACCGATCGAAAAACCATTTAAACGAACCTTTTTCGGACCGCCTCCCGTAGACAAGGAGCGCACTTACGGTGAATGTACACAAACATTAGAGTGTATTAATGGTGTGTCACAAGTATTTTCCAACGAATCCATCGCTATTGATGATGAATCACAGAAACCGGCGCGTTTACCGTTACTACCTGTCGAAATTCTATCAATGAAGAAGACTTTAGTAGCTAATCGTCGCAAATTAGATGATTCAGATATAAAGAAAACGAAGCAAAAAGACATTACTGAATACTCTGTGAAAAAATATGTAACTCCTACCCGACAAGAACTGCAACCTTATTTTGAAAAATTTGCCCAACGCATGCAAGAAAATGCTATTCAATTTGAAAGATTATGTTCGATGACAGCCGCTATTACTCCATAACTTAATCAGAAAGAATTTAAACAATAGAACTGATTATTTTGAAATTATTTTTGAATCATCCTATCTCGTTTTAAGATGACTAACATAGTCATCATTAGACTCTACTAAGTTGGACATTTTATTTTCATTGTTTTGGCAACTTAAGTAAAGAAAGAGTGTGTGGGTATTGTCTTTTTCCATAGTAACACCCACACCCTTAATATAGATGTGAATATCATTATGCTTGACTATCAGTGCTCGTCCGATTTAAGTGTGACATGAAGATTCTCTTATCTCATACTAATAACTACAATCATGCTCTATGTACGATGTTCATCAGATGTAAGCGTGAATGTCATTCTTAAAATTGACAACATACACATCGAACCCGTAACAGTTATTAGTCGGTCTTTATCGTATGCTTTCATCGCCCTTGACGAATTGCAACGATAAACTTCAGCATCCATTGAATGGACAGAAATTTTCCCTTAAACTGCTGCATCTAATAAGCAGTGATGCTTTTTGCATCACATAAAAGAATATTTTTCCCTTGAGCTTCTTAAATCACATATAAAAAGTTTAGTTAGGATGGACCTTCTGATTCTTTCTTTTATAGTACTCACATATATTATTGAAGAAAATAATGAATTTGGATTTTAATCGAAGTTTTTCACCTCCTTTTCTCCAGCGCCTTAGTATAGACTGTAGCAACTGAGACAAGATAGCAGATATTTGTGACAGTCTTAGTTAACGTTTAATCCATTGTTTGATTCTAATAAAATTATTACAACAAGACTAAAGAAGACATGTACGTTCCATATTTCAGCTGAAATGATACTGACTCGACAATTATTTCCACAGTGCAAAACACATATCCATTCGGTTCAGATTCTTTTTCTCGATCGCCACCTCTATGGCAATCAATTTCATCACCTGTTTGGCACTGTAACTGGCTCAAATCGGAATAGTTGCATGTCTCGTCACGATATATGATCGAGAAAAATGTATGGTGAAAAAAGCAAAACTAAGTAAGTGTGAATGAAAGAAAAATGAAAATACAACAGTGAAAAACTTAAAATTCCTTTAAATAGAGTCGATTTCATGGATCACTACTCCATATTCTGCGAAAAAGAAGATTGTGCAAGCAGTTGAAAATGAAAGATCATGACTTAAGAAGCATTTCTCAATGGTACCGCGATGTTATTACTCTTTGTATTGAACAATAAATGGTGCCTTGCACATTGGGTACCGGACACCGAAACTATATTGAGGCGCTTGTTGCTTATTGATAAAGTTAGATGTACTATAAGTTCCTGAGCCTGGTGTTGCGTCGCATCGAAAGCTATCGCGTCGTGATGTTATACTGTATGCAGGTGCTGATTTTTATACCGATCTCATCGCATTTTATGGTATGTAGGCACTCGGTCCTGCGAAAAAAAATATTTCTTTGTATAGATATGAATGTTAATATCAATATCTTTTACTTGGAGTTATATCAGTTTTAGAATCATCACGTCGAGCATCGACAGAATCCTGCGATAATTCATGGCTTACTCCAGATATTCCATGATTTTAAAAGTTGGAAGTACAGGACACTGATTCCTTGTTAGAATTTTCATGTTCTAGAACAAATTAATCATCTGGTTGTTTTTTATGAGAAGAATATAAAATATTAAAATTATTTTTGACAACATCAGATTGTAGATGCATAGAATCTGTTGTTGAATGCTTTACTAAAACAGGATCACATGTGTTCGTTCTACTCGATGTCATTTGTTGATTCTATCAATGGAAATAAAAATTAAACTATAGATGATAGATAGTAGCATTCTTTATTAGCAGCAACATTAAACTCATACTTATTAACTGTTCTCAACCAAAATCGCTACTAATACTCGTACATTGTTTATGTAAACGTATCGCTACTTTTCTATTTACTGTTCGTCATCAACAAAAAGCTATTTGATTGCTATGAAGGAAAGAAATAACTCACTGCTCGAGACAACAACAGAATGATCAAAAAAAATTTCACACAGTATTTCTTTTCTAACTTAATAGTCAAAATATATGAAAAAAGGAGTCAAATTTCAAATAACTAAGCGTCTGTGTCGCCGAAATTATCATTCTTTCGCTTTCGCTCTCTTTCTGCTTTTCCAAGAGAACCAATGGCTGACTTTGCTGATTGAAAAAGAAGGATTAGGTGGATGTCGATGAAAATTTTGATATTTGACTTTCGTTTGAGTGCAACAATATTCGCATTTAATTCAGGGATCTCTCTTCATCATACTCTTTAAAATATGTGTCAATACTCAAAAAAAATGAATTAGGCAATTGGTATTGTTTCGATAACCTTATACTGTGGTCAACATGGACGGTTAGTTAGAGATAGATCAACTACATCTCATGTAGAAATGAAAAAGACCTATGATATACTTTTTTAAAATTCTTATAGATTCATGATCTTGATTTCCAGATTGTACGTATAGATTTAAAGAATTTTCATCTGAGAATATTTACACCCACATCCAGCAACATCCAAAGTCTCGAATATGGGCATGGGTTGTTAGTCTGTGGAGTGTGAGTGTGGGTGGATGTGGACGAAGGGAAGACAGTCTGTCACAGAGACGTGCATGCACCACATGTATATCTCATACATCCATGCCATAATCAAAAATCAACAGAATTGTATATAATTCCACTCAATAGACATGCCATTGCGTTCGTTCAACATTGGGTCGTGAGAATGTAATCACCTGAATCGTGTCTACAATAATAGATCTGAAGGATGTAGATGTAAGTGTGTGAGTATAGGGTGTGAATGTGGTGCATGTACGTCTCTGTGACTGACTGCCTCTTCTTCATTCACACATCCACTCACATCCATATGATGTTAGCAGACAAGCTACAGTTCACTCAACTACTAACAAAGTAAATATTTATTATAACATAGTATTTTCATAGCATAGATTTTTTTCTTTTCTTTCTTTTATTTGCCTTACAGTCAAAAATTTAATAACAAATATTTTTCACAACACTGTTTCTCTTTCTGCTTTTTTGAATATGTATGATCGATCTTAATAGAACGAAAAAAATAAAGTATTTTTTCTTCCTTTGTCTAGGCGAAGAGAATCAATGAAAACATGTTTCAAAATATGTTTTTTGTTTCATGTACATTCATTTCAGAATATAAACAACTTCACTTAGCTTCTCGAGGTATATAATGACTTGTTCATCAACTTGTCGTCAGCTTGTTTTATTTGATTGTGACGATGATCGACTCAGTCTTTTCAAAGATCATGAAAAATATCTGTCTCGAATTCCATCGAATTGTGAATGCTGCATATTTTGGAATGATCTCAAAATTGCTGTGTATAGAAACCTCAAGTGGATTTTTCGAAAGTATTCTCATATACATCTTTGTCCATCATATTACCATCAAATGGACAATTCGTCTAGCTCAGATATTTTATCTTTTCTGGACAAATTGATATGTAGGTTTTCATTTGTATTGCTTGTACATGGGGATGATCAGTCGTATATGAGCGCTTTCAAATATGTTACAGAACAGTATGGAAAAGAAAAATTGGAATTATATGCGATCGATAAACCTTTTAGTCAACATTTATCACATATTCTCGCTCGACTTCGAAAGAAAAAGCGTGAATACAACTACCATGAATACTTAAAAAGTTTATCCTGGAAAGATCAATTGAAACATAAAAGACGATCTTTTTTTTCGAATAGTATATGGCACTATGATAATAGTCGTATTCCATATGGTCTAGAGGAGTACAATAATTTCAAATGTCTCATAAAAAGGAAACAAAAACAGCTGAAAACTTATTTTCCTAACATTCGCCTCTGTGAATCTGCGCAATTTTCTGCAGATTTTGATGTCGACGATCAGTACGAGCAAGATAATAATAATTATTTATCAACAATGCACCAGCAAATGCAAAGCTTCGGGCTTAAAATTAACCTTAAAAAAATATTCCTTGAATTACTTCAATGCCGTAAAGGGGTAAAATACACCGTTGTATTCACACGACATTTTGATGGGAAACCCATTGAATTCACTCCATTTATTGCTATTCAGTCATCTAATGGTTTTGAGAATCAAGAATCAATGATACAAGGAAAGGTATACAGAGCGAAACTTCCAGTTAATCTTTTAAGAATGCTACATCTTTGTTTCAGAGTCCAAAAAAGGTGGAACCATCTGTCGGCTATAAAAGACGGATTAAAGCCAAGACCACCAATACTACGAAGTCAAGTTCATCGAAGAGTCGGAAAGAAGTAAAAAACAAAGAACCCCAGAAGATAGAAGTGAAGAATAATTCGATAAGTAAATCACTGTACTGTCCACAATGCAATAAAAGATTCGGATCCACTGATAGTGTTAAACAACACGTCAATGCCAAACATGCTGGATTCATTTCCAGTACCACAACTTATCAAGCATGCTCTCCCACTGATGGAACGGCAATAATACCAGAGAAGAAACAGACCGAAGAATGCGCAAGGAACCTTGCATATAATTTGTCGTCCGTTTCACAATGCCCAGAGAAATCTCGATCAACTACTAGTCGTGATATCCTTTTTAGTACGAACTGTGCTGGATCCCTTTTGCCTTTAACTACTATACCATCAAGTCCTCTAATTTGCAAAACGACAGTACTAATGGATCAAGCAAAGAATACAGAACACAATACTAATTCTGTAACCATATCATGTCAATGTTTATGGTGTCCTGAGTTATTTGAATCGACTACGACTCGCGATATTCATTCTAAAGTAAAACACGTTGGATCTAATTTATCTACGGATTCAAAGCCACCCACTTTCGTTGATAGTCGATCAATCGTGGCGAAAGATCATGCAAAGATTATACAGCATAAGAAGAGTCCTATTAAAACGTTTTCTTGTTGGCAATGTGCGACAAAATTCGAATTCACTCTTGGTCGTTTAGGTCATTTTCTCCATAAACATGCCACATTCTTTCGATCTAAAGCTCTGGAATTATCAGCTAATGTGAATAATCGTATAGAAGTTGTGCAGAATTTGATGGATGCCACAAAAGTTTCGATTCACTCTGTAAAAAGATCATTTAGCTGCTGGCAATGCACCAAAAAATTTCAAACCGATGATGGTCTTCTTTCTCATTTTGTTGGTAAACATGCCAGCTTAATTCTAACCACAAACACCGATCCATCAAGTCTTCTCGAGAATCAACTAAGATTGGCACAAGAGTACATGATGACATCGTTCTGTTGTTCACAGTGTTGCAAGAAATTCAAATCGTCTACTGATCTCGATCAACATCATAAGACTATTCATAGTGAACTGAATGCATCACACACGATAGAATCACTACATTCTACTAGAAAACAATTTAAAGTAAACAAAGAGCAAAAAACGATTGAAGAACTTGCAAATACTTCTAAAAGTCCTTTATTTGACTGTTCTCAATGCATAGAAAAATTCGAATCGGCTGCTAGTCGAGATTTGCATTTAGCTACTATGCATTCGAAGTTTATTTCAAAGGCTAGTATAATGCTGACAAAGTCTTGCGATAATGTAAAAGTCAGTGATCAAAAGCATAAAAAAATTACACAACATACAAAACATCCTATAAATATGTTTGGTTGTCCGCAATGTTCTAAGAAATTTAAAACAGTCCATAGCCGCTTGGATCACATCATTAATCACCATACTGCATCAATTCTGCTTGCTGCTAATATACCATCCAGTCACCTTAATAATAATAGAGATTCTGTGCAGGCAACGCTGAACAACGCAGCAGTCCCAAGTGATCTTCCAAGCGAGCCGCTCAGATGTTGGCAATGCACAAAGAAATTTCAATCTAATCAAAGTCTCATAGCTCATTTCATTTACAAGCATGCTAGTTTTGTTTTAACCCCAAGTACTGATCCAATCAATATTCTTCAAAATGAAATAGTTAAGGCAAAATACCAAATGAACATAGGACAGAATGCACCTACCCATAATAAAGTATCGTACAACTGTTCGCAATACTTGAAGGAATTCGAATTTGCGGACACTTGCAGCACTCATTTAAAGAGCAAACACGTTGAATCTTCTTTGTCTACTACTACTTTAACAATAAATCATCTCAATATCGAAAGGACAGCAATGCAGTATCAGAAGAAAACTACAGAACATGTGATTAATTCTATTAGTCCACAAACCCTCGAATTAGCTGCTTGTCACGATGTTTATCTTCATGTGAAACAAACTGAATCTAATTTGTCTATGAGTGCTCAGTCATCAAATACTCTTAATAATCAGTCAACAATGACGAAAGCCAAAAAGAATATCATAGAACATACAAGTCATGATTTAAAAATATTTTCTTGTTGGAAATGCTTCAAGAAATATAAATCTGCTCAAGGTCGCTTACATCACTTTATGACGAGTCATTCTGAATTATTTCTACCTACAATGAGTGTATCATCAAACAATCTGGATAATCATAGCTTGTTAGATCAGGAACAGATGAATAACTTCGACGTTTCGGTGAATCTTTTGAATAAGTCATGCTGTTGTTGGGAATGCGCAAAGAAATTCAAATCTCACAGTCGTCAAATATCTCATTTCATTGAGAAGCATGCTAAAAGTATTTTGTCCATAAGTTTTGATCCGTCAAATATTCTGAAAAATCAAATAGCAACGACGCAAGAAAAGATGAAGAGAAAACAAGATACGACTATTGCTACTAAAGCAACGTTTAATTGTTCCCAATGCTCGAAAAAATTTAAAAAAGATGTTGATCGTTCCAAGCATTTTAACAGCAAACATGTTCAACCTAAATTTACTACTTCATCTAAACTATCGAAGCATGTTGAGAGTCAAACAACAGCAACGCAAGAACAGATGAAAAATACAGAACACATGACTTATTCTGCCGATACATCTTTTAATAGCTCAAGATGTTTGATGCAGTTCAATGTAGCCTATGATGGATCGGACCATTTTAATATTGAATGTTTAGAATGCATTACGCCAACAACTGTCATGTCCCTGAGCAACGTTGATAGTCAAGCAGAAACGTTAAACGAACATAGAAGTTGTAAAGAACCGGAACCAACATTTAAACATATGTCGCACTATTGTCAGCAGTGCCAGAAATACCTTCCTTGTGCTGCTGATCATTTAAAGCATTTTCGAACGGAACATACCGAAATGAAGTCTTTCAACAGAACTTCAGAGGAATTTTTTGCTGATCCAGACAGTATGCAATGTCCTAGAGCAAAGTTCCCTACACTAGTTTACATGTTGTTGAGAACGACTGGGAAACGAATCTCCATTAAATCTCGCAAGACAAACCGATGTCCACATGATGCATGTAAGTCGAGAACAGTTGATTACACATTCGAAGAACTATGGTTACATACAACTGTAGAACACAATGATGCAGAAGTTAAACTAGAATGTTGTGATCCAATGATCGCCTACACTCCAGAAGAATACAAGAATCATCGACTACATTGTGATCAGAACTAGAGACCGAAAACAAAGCCATCTACTTTTTCAAAGACAGCTCGAATCGAACCGAACTCGAGCTAGCTGTTGCGTTGGCAACAAAGTTTTTGCTTTTTTTAAAAAAGTTTCATTTAATTTTTTAACTACAAAAGTACAACTAAGTTTCAATAATGTGTGCTCCATTACTATCTATGACTTGTCGCCGACGCTCTGGAAGAGAAAGGATCCCACGTACGTAGAACTCCTGTGGCTTTTTGCTGAAGAAGTTGCTGAAGTCCATTTTGAGGTCGTGTTCGTCGTCAAAATTTTTTTTGCGTAAATGATCAGAAAGAGAACGGAACAAATTTTCCATGGAGTCTTGCTGCAACTCGATCCAATTGCTGACAATAGAGATCAGCAATAATAGTGCTACCAGTTGGAAGAAGCTCCCAATGAATTACGCCTCTTATGCCTCAATGAGTGCTCAACATAACCATCCTTGGGCGAAGTTTATTTTTTGGCGTTATTATACCGCTTTGTCAAACTCTCAACCATTGTCGCTTGCGCATGTAATTGACATACATCACCCACTTTTCGTGACCGGTAATAAAAGTGCGGAGCCATTCGAAGTTGCGATGAGAACTTAGTAGTTCCATACACGTGTCGACCCTGTGTTAGAGCTGAAGTGATGACAACGCGTGGAGTATCTAAACTCCGTACTTCCATGTCTTGCCTAATTCGCTCAAATGTTTTTCTACCACAGTATGAGAGCATCCAACCCGCTCTACTAAAAGCGTGTAGTTAATCTCGATTCTTCTGTAATGAGCTGCTCTAATACGTCTATATCCACCTCCAGCGGCATTTCGAAACGAGGTAAATCGTCAAGTTCGAAGCTCCCGTTCCTAAATCGGTTGAATCAAAGTTGCGCGGTATGAATGGAGAGTACATCCTTGCCCATCATGCTCCATATGTAACTTGCTGCTTCTGTCGCTTTGGGACCCAAACCGAATTCATGAAGTAAAAGCGCTCGGAGTTCTATACGAGAAATCTCCATTTCTAATCTGGAACCAGCTTCCTTACTCATAGTTTTGTAGTTGTTTGCAAGACATTCTTCTTAATGAAATCGGATTTTCGCGATACTGGCGAGTGGACGCCGTGCTTGATTCGAATCGTATTGACACCGTGCGATGTGATACCAAAGACATACCAGCAATTATCCGTCAGATTGCATATTATCAACGGGCCGCCACTGTCGCCATCTAGTAATGATAGAGGAAAAAGCCAACATCCACCGAAGAAATTTGCAAAGAATTACTTGTTTTCGACAAGAAAGATGAAGAAAGGAACAAAACGAAAAAAACGTCTTGTTGTTGAATTATTATGCAGCAATGCATTCTTTTACCTTTTCGTTCTTTCTTTTTCGTGCAACACCGACACACAGCCAAAAACAGGTGACGAACACACCAACAAAAAAAAACAAGTCAGGTGCGTGCTAATTCGTCGTTTTTTTTCGATTTCAAAGTGCGTTTTGTCTTCTAGATTTTATTGCTGTTGACGAAGACATGTCTGGTAATCCTCAGTGGTTCTGGAATGCCGCATCGAATCCATTTTCGAAATCCGAACCACCGAATTGGACACCTTATTCAGATGCAGACAATGCCAAGATTGAGAACGCTTTTCAGAAAGGTGATACAAAACTTCAACTGGGAAATTATGCCATTCATATTAACGAACGAATGCAAGTAAACCAGAATGATTTTAGCCGACAGCGACCAATCAAACGTGTAGAATGACATTGGAAATAAACTTGTACGAATGAAATAAATTTCTACCTCTCGCATTACTATTCTCTGCTATATTAGTCGCACAGATTTCATCGATCTCATCAAAGGAAACATATGTTTGCTTTCAATAGTCGGTCAATTTGACATAGATAACGTCTTATTTCAGTGAAGACGATTCGATACTATACAGTTCTCCTTTGAGTAATTTTTCATTCTCACTGGCAAAGTTTCATTTTGTTCTTGAGGAATACATATCATATGATCATATCGGAAACGTTCGAGCACTTTTCTCATGTATTAAATCGCTAAATTGAAATCGCAGCATGAGACATAGTTCGGATGAATAATCACATGTGCAGCGACGTAATCAGAGGACCATGAGTAGTATGGCAGCACCTTACGAGCTTGAGGGAAATCCATACGATACAGTGCTAATGATGGTAATTATTATGTTGTTTCTTTTTTCTGGAGGGTGGGCGAAGATTATCAATGGTAACCTCGACAATAACCGTTAGAAACATCGGTTCAGTGACGATACAATGTATAGCTAAATACAAATAGAAAATGATATCAGCGATTTTATATTGACGATGTTGATCATCGATTGAATGGCCATTCTTGTGCTAATCGAATGCACCCTTGCTCTCTGTCCTTCTCAGCAATAGAGTCCATTCGAAATGTCAATAATCTTTCCATCTGTATGCGTGTCTTTTTCTGTTTGTCCGTTACGCATGTATCGCAATTCATGAGCAGTACGTTGGCATACAAATGCAAGCAGAGCAAATTGAAGATGATTGTGATCGAGAGAAATGTATTTTATTCTTAATTGCCATCGCGAGACACAGAATGAATACGACAGCCGATAGCATCAACTTGCTTCGTATTTATGGAGAGTATCAATGGGAGAGCGCTTATATTGAGATTGACCGAAGTCATTGTTGATCACTTGGATGAACTCCACTGCACCTCAGAAGATGACTAGACAGTTGCTAATAGTCAAGGAGGAACGACTTACCATCCAAACGTTTATTCTTGAGTCTCCGAATACAGAATTTGATGATTTCCAATCAATAATGACGTTCAAATGTTCTTGTGAACGGTGCTTGTTTTTGAATGAAATGAATCAAAAAGGAGAGGGTGTGAATCCTCTGCGTACCTAAACCCGAAGAGCAACAGCAAGAGTAGCCTTCTTATGAAATACGGATTTATTTTTCAAAAAAAAGTAAACGAATGCAAATAACAACAGTTCAATCTTTGTAGTTAAACTCAATACGTAGAAGATATTTGATCTTGATCTGTTCGGTATTATAGACAATGTATTCATTGTACAATAGTGAACTATGTGGAATTTTTGCGGTAACACCACGACCCATTGAAATGAGAACTCCATCATCTGTATAAAAATGTTCTAAAACAAAAGATAATTTATAATTATCGACAAAAAAAAATTTTTCCGTTCACGTTTTGGATCAGGAATTGTTTGCCCACAACCTTTGGTCGATTGTGTACCAGCTGGCAATGTTTCTGCTGAAAGATTTGTCGTTTTATAACAATCATACGTATTACCGAGAGCAACTTCACATAAAAGCATTAATCCTTCAGGTGTTTCTCTTTTCGGCAAACAGTAATTTGCTAAATTATTAACGGAAAACTATTCATTAGATCAAAGAGAAAAAGAACTTACCACTCCTCGAAGCCATATCAGCAAAATAGACACCTTTGCCGAACATGTAACCTGTCTAAAATAAATAAGAAACGTTTTAGAATTTTTTACTCTTTAAAGTAAAATCTGATTGACTGTGTCTGATGATGTCCTTGTTCTAATCTTACAGAAAAAATTATCATTAAAATTGTTTTACAATTAAAATCACTAGCAGTCATACCAGAGAGCATCTAACTATCGCAAACTTCCAAGAAGAACAAAAGAGAATATTTGATTATTCAAACAAATACGAAATTTCCTGCATTTTTTTCTGAAACTCATCACATTGGAAATTAACAGATTTGAATTTTTCATTCAGGATTGGAGTCCCGACTTTTCTTTAAATCTCTTAGATTATTAAAAGAGAACACCGTATTGATTGTTTAACTGACCATTGGTGCTTCGGGTGGAGCTATACGTAATCCTTGACTAAGAATTCCAGCAAAGTTCGTTATTCTCGAACCATGCCATAACAATTGATGGTTTTTAAGTTTTTTTCATTTTTGAAAACGATCATCTTCGCCTTCTCGTATTATTTTAAATAATTCTTTCAATTTTAATGTATATGTATTATGTGTCGATGCATGTGTATTAATCATATATTGTTCAATTCGTTTGAATTCTTCTGTATTCTTATCGATAGGTTCAATTATACATTTTAATTTTTTATAATGGACATCAATTGGATGTTCATCTTTTTCATCTATCGATCCTTTTAACATTGAATAGGCTATTTCAATTTCAAGTAAATTATCAATCATTTGTGTTTTTGATTGAATTAAATCGATATTATCAAGAATTATTGGTTTTTTAAGACCAAAATTATGTGGAATAAGTGTATAAAATCGATTAGTAGCATCAACAATTGATGTTTTATTTGTTGAACCACTTGTAATTAATGTTTGTAATTCAGTAAGAACTTGATAAGCCATATTTAATTGATTGCGTGAAAGTTTACCTAAAGGCATTTTTGTTAAATCAATTTCGAATGATAGTAATGTTTCTTCCATTGTCTTAACATTAAAAATCAAACGGATTAGATCTTGCACAGATTGTGGTAGATGAGAACGATTTTTTGAATTTGGATCATTCAACATTTTTTGTATTTGATCATTATCACCATGTTGTCCAAAATCGATTTCTAATGGATAATGTTTATTTGGTAACTTTTTAAATGTTTCTTGATCGGTCCATTGATTACCAGTTTTATCAAAAAATATTCGATGAAATGCATCAATTGCTTCAGATTGATCATCATATTCATCTATTTTTTTACTACCAAAAGTTGTACCAGTACGACCCTTAGAAAATTCAAAAAAGAAAAATAGATGCATTGAATATAATTTATGTAGAAAAATCACTTATCATGCACGAAAAAGAAACCATTTTTTGCCATTATCATCTTCGAGTAATTGAATTTTGTAATATGAATTCGTATCACGAGTTATATCGACCATACCAAGTACAGCCGTAAAAATACCACCAGTTTTACTATCTTTCAATACGTGACATGTTTCTTCAAGTCCTATGATAAGCAAAATCATTTTCGAATATATCTCATAGTCTATTACAATGAATCAAATGAACGCTATTCAAATAAAACACAAATATAAAAAGTTCAGATCATGTCAACCCTGTTTAGGCATGATTCTAGTTTCAATATCATAAAGTCTAACGTTTATGCTCTTGATTCAACTCATCTTAGAATCATAAATAATCTTTGCATTTTTTGTGACTTACCAGAATCAGGATCAACTGCAACACCATCATTTAATTTCATAGTAACTTTTCCCGGTATGAATTGTTTTGATCGACCTATAACAAAGATTCAAAGTCAACGCTCGAAATGATTCGAACAAAAATACTTACCGACAGATTTAAATGTGTTCGATGATTTTCGTTTTATTTTTTTCTTTTCATGAGTTTGTTGTTTTCGAATATGTGGTAAAATACCCCAGGTCGATAATTTCAATTTTTCCATTACAATTGATGGTCGATCATTAACTATATCATCCAAGAATTGTTCTGGAACAATATGAATTTCGAATGTTTGTGCATTTTGAATTCTTTTATTTCCTTTTTGTACTTCATCTATTGAACAATCATAATAATAAAAAATAAAATAAAATATAAATAAGAAATAACCTTGTGTACTAATAATCACATCAACTGTTTTGTCAATAGTCGAAACAATTGTTGCACCTAATTGTTCGATTTGTTTTTGTAAAGTGCTTGTTCTCTTTGATAAACGACCGACTAATGCAACCGAATAGTCATTAAGAGGCAATTTTGGATCATAATCAGGTCTAAAATAATATCGTGAAATGAAAATTTCTATTAGAAAAAAAAGTCATTTACTCTTTAATTTCAACTATTTTGTTCATCAACTTCGGTTTCTTGATGATTGGTGTTATGATCCGATCTCGTTTTGTATATTTGTAGTTTTGCCTACAAAATGAATTAAGAAAACAATAATTGAAAGGCGTGTGAGTATATTATTTCTTATTGCAAGCAGTAAAATATTGGCTTTTTATGAACAAAAAAAAACTTACAACATGTTGTAGGTTTCTTTGATTTTATCTGGCATTTCAAATGATCTTCGTTTAGGTAATTGTGTTCAATAAGAACATTTTGTCCATTCGGGAGTGTTGCCTGTACAACGATAATTTGTATAACTAAATATCGAAGTTGACAAAAAAAGATCTCAACAAAAATAAAATGATCTACTTGAAAACAAGAAAACCATTACATTCGGACATGGTTCAAGTGCACCGAATGCCATATAATCAGTCACAGCATCAATTAACTAAAATAATTGATTAATATGATTCAAGAAAATCATTCAGATTACATTTGATTCTCCAGAAACTGGTTTTTGTGCATTAAATTCAAGTAATTCTTTTAGAACGTCGTTGGGGATTTCTTTTCGTAAATTATCTTTGTAAGTCCATAGAAGTTCACATTGTTCCTGAAATCAACGAAAAGAAATTCTCAAATATGACTAGAAAGTCAATAACCTTTTTGAGACGTGTCTCTTCTTGTTCATTCAAAGTTTCTAATGTCGTATCTTCAATTTTTGCTTGTTTTTCTTTTGTCGATTCATCGTTTATCCTTACACCTTTACGTTTTTGTTTTGAACTAGTTGATGTACCAAATTTCTCTTTAAGTTCCACTTGATCTTCATTATTCAAATCAACAAAACCGAAAAATCTCGAATAAAAACAAAAAAAAAGAATTATTTCAGAAATAAATTCAATCAAGAATACGAACAATTCAGCATTGCCAAAGAATCCAAGATCTTTTTTCATGTGATTAAAACAATCTACATGATACCATTCATCAGTTGATCCATAACGTCGTGATCTTTTACTTGTGTAATTTTTTCTCGATAAACGTAATGTATCTTTGTCAATCGATGTGTCACAACCATGACATGTACTTCGATTTGATTTAGCATATTCAACAGTGAATGTATTGTTCGGATCATTTTCATCTAATAGAAAAATACATGTTCTATCAGATTATCATTTTAATTAAAATAAGAAAATAATTTCTTCATAGGAATTCAATTGAGAGCAGAAACGATTCTGTTTTTTTTAATTCTAGTTTTAGTGTCGTAGATACAAGGTATTTTAACAGACCGATTTTTTTCTCTCGATCAGCTAAGCGTGATTAAAAAAAAGTGATAAACAAACAAATATGTCAAAATTTCGTCTCTATCTTTAAATGTTACGTCACACAGTGCATTCACTCGAACAAAATTTTAATGAGATAGTAATCAATGTCGACATCAATTATTGATCAAGTACAAATTATCTCAGATATTTTATTAAAATAATTAAAAGAACTCAATAAATATCAAATATGAAAGTGTATATCTCGATCTTTACGTTTTTTGAAATTTGCAGAACACTGCTCTGCTAAAGGTCGAATATAGACTTATTCAATAGTATTGTAGAATTTTCTTGAATAAGATTACGAATTTTATCTTGATCTTCCCAACGTAAATCATCAAAACCTTTCATAATTTTTACATCAATTAGTTTCACTTTTTTAAAAAAACAATCCGTATGATACCAATTGGGAACCTAGCGAAGAGCTTATTTTTCTTTTTTTTGAATATTATGTATGACAGACTTTGCCGTCAAATTTCAATGATTGAACCATAATTGCAAATCGAAAAGTGTCTTTATCGATCGTTGATTGACAACTTTTGCATTTTGATCGATCAGATTTTGAATATTCAACTCTGAATATTGAATCGACACCAGACATACTTCAGTCTTACCTTCAAACGATGGAATTGCAATAACAAAAGCATAATACTTCACTTAACTAACATGGTCAATATTGCCTTGTAATGATGAAATTACCTGTGACAGAACCCATAGAAATCCTATGTTTGCGGTTATATTTCATCAACCAATCGTATGAACACATTTTCGAATCGACAAATATGATTTATTGAACTAATGAGCAATGAAACAAGGCAACAATACAACAATTCATCTGAGTTCAATGAGAAATGTTTAGAAAGAATGGAATCAATGGAATATTGTTCATATGCGACACCTACAATTGACGCGACCAGAATAATCATCAGAATATTTTTTTCATGATTCTGCATAATATTCTAAAGGAGTCTTCTTTTTTCTTGTAGAGCGAATCGAGGTTATCGAAGTCTGAATCTATGATAATCAAACAAGATGAATCAAAAGAAACAATTTTTTCTTGATCATTGGAGAATAAAAATCAACGACCACCTATCAACTCATATCTTTTCACTTTCGCCGAATCGATTTTCTCCTCGGCATCCTAAAGGAAAACAGAAAGTGACTCAAAATTTCTATCCGAAATTCATAAATCTGTAGACATATGCTTAGAAACCAGAGATGGAATTGGTACCGATCTGGAAAAAGGTAGACCGGTTCCATCTCTACTAGAAACATCTTGTTACGAGGCAATGTGACTTCAAGAGAGAGTCATTGATTTTCTTTAGAAAACTACGGATACAATTCGAAGTTCACAGAACAAATAACATAAAGAGGTTCACATAGATTTTTTTTTCAAAGCACTAGAACATGAACATATTGTCTCATACAATGAATTCTTCAATAACTTATTGCAAAGACATTATCAAAAATCTTTTGAGACTTTGCAATAACTTTCCCTCAAATTATGATTGACACAGAGCATCCTTACCTCTTTTTCTCCCTTTGCCAACTGTGTAGCATGTTAAAATCAATTAGGAATCAAATGAATCTGACGTTACTCGATGCAGACGTATGCCTCTTTCGCCTTGCCTATGCAACTGAAAGAACAACTCAAATCTGAGAAAATCGCAATTACAGAAGCAAAAGATAAAGAAGAAGGAGAAATGTCGTCGTCGAGTTTCTTGGGGCTTCCGTTCACATAATGAAGCACTCTCTTCAACACGAATTGGATGTCTATCTATAATCATAAATGTAATGAGAAATGTTTTTGCAACGAATGCAGCCGAATTCAGTGGTTTGCCACAGACATTGGCAGATATGTCGAAAAAATCGCATTATCGTCATAGACCGTGACGAACATTTCGAAATGTTGCTCATTCGATCCCATCACAACAGAGAACACGTTTCTAACCAGTGATAGGATTTAATTTCTTCACACTAGTATTGCTTTCAAATATAAAATGATGCATTAGTAATAAAAAAAAAGAACTGTGCGTTAGCCGGGAGTCGAAAAGTCTCATTCACATGGAATATGATTCGCTAATAAGTATGAGAATAATAATTTAAACAGAGGTATCACGTTATTTTGGATCAAGACTTCCCGGGTCGGCTGCTTGGAAGGCAACCATGCTAACCGTTACACCACTAACGCTCAATATTCTACAGCAATTTATTCCGGATCGTTATTGTTTTTCTTTTCTATCCTGGACGAGAATGAAAAGAAAGCTGCTCAAACTTATCGCCAGATTCGATGTTATTCTCTATCATCTCAAAGAAAGTATAAAAACTAATCAAAATAGTTTTTGATCATTTATTCTTTTTTGAGTATAATTATTTGAACACTGAACTAGTTATGTGAAAAACTAGCTAGTTCATCTAGGAAGTCAATGTGAAATTTCTAATATTCAGTTAGCAGCAAAGAGAATAAACAGAGATGCACTTTTCGAGTAACTATAAATTCAATCATCATTCATGTACTAGATTTGCAGAAACTCCTGAAATTCAGTTTTACTTAGTGACTTAAATTACAGTCAACTAGACTCTTCGACCAAATCTATATAATAAACTTAACTTTTCAAAAGATCCTCTCTAATTCATCAGTAATTGTAAGCGATTAGTAGATAGTGTATATTGATAGTGAAACTAGAAGAATAATAGTTCTCTGTTACCTAATCATGCGATGGACTTGAATCATGCTCGAAAAATCGCGTTCGAGATTTGATGCTTTCTCGAAATTCAAGATTCAACTTTCAAAATTCTCTAACGTGATCTCAATTATTGTTTTTTTTACAAAGATATCTAGAAGACACTGTCTCTCATACACTTTCATAGAAAAAGTGCAAGTGTTGGCAAGTTTGATGAGCGTAGAGCTCATGGAAAATAGAATCATCTCTTTTTCACATCTGCATGTCATGAAAAAATGTTCAGCGCAATCCCTACGAGATTGATATGTGAAACATGATGGAATTATTTTAGTTGTAAACAAGAACCGATGATTCCTCGAATGAATACAAAGAATGATAGAATGAAATAGTATTTTCTTCTGCTGCAGAAGACAACAACTATCTTTCAAGATGATTATATATAAAAAAAATTTTTATAGCCGCCAAGAATGTGACCTTTATTCATGAACTTCGTTTTTTCTCATGAGTTTTCCGATGACAAAATTAAGCGTTCTTCTAGTAATAATGATATTTGTACAGATGTCAAACAATGTTAGGTCATATTGCTAACTTCTAAACCAATCAATTTTTTTTTCTGTTAAAAAAAGCGAAGTCTGAACTACAAATTTTGGAGCAGACTTGTTTTTCCAGAACTAATCGACGAAGCAGGAGAAGCTAAGGGCTAAACACCTCTAAAAAAGTTCTTGCAGCTTCATTTCCGCTCAATAGCATTTTCTATTCTCTGTTCATGTTTTCATATAAGAAGCAAAATGAAAACGCATATTTAATGATCAATTTTAGAGCGTAAAGAGCACTCTTTTCAATGGTATATTGGAGGTTAAATTTAGTCTTGAGTTTTTTTTAGAAAAATTTAGCTATTTCTGAATGAGGGTATGAGTGTTCTCTATTGACCTATACCCACACCACACCCATATCTTATAAATTGTACAGGGATGATGTTCAATAACATTACTTTCCAAACATCGATGAAAACTTAAACAACATTCACCATTGAACGTGAAAACTCGAATTTGAACCAATATAATCTTATATGTTTCCCATAATAAAACGGTAAATTTTCTCAATTTGTCTTTTTTCAACCCATCCTCATTTAATAATCGATTGCGTGCAGTTTATCTTCGTACCGAAAATGTGTGACAGCGAAATAAATCATTTCGTGAAATGTGTGCAAGCTGATACAGAAGAACAAACAATTAGATTCATTCATGTAGAATGCGACTTATCGAATACTTTGTGACTCATATCACTAACAATGGCTCTACTCTGTAAAAAAAAATGTCATACTGAACCATAAAAGGTTCTAGATTTGGGTACCATTTTCAGAACCTTTTAAGGTTCGAGCATAATCCGGTTCTATCTCGAACCTTTTTTTTTCTTCTTTCAAAAATGGTTCTAGCCTAGTAAAAAGCAGTCCACTCAACACACTTAATCTAGTACTGTTGATTAGTTCTATATCTAACCCTTATTTTCATCCTTAACTCTCTATCCCTATATCTATAACGCCTTATTTCTACCTTCTAACTCTTTATATCTAAATCTAAGCCCTTATTTCTATACGTAACCCTTAGTTAGAGATGGACCATTGATACTTAACGTAAAATGAAATTAAGTTTTATTACTTAGCATTTAATATTAAGTTTTGAGTTTTTCAACTAATACTGAATTCGCTTGAAATTGAGTGGTTTAATGATTAGCGTGAGACAAATACAATTTAATTTCGGTTTTTTTGGTCAGAAGAAGGCTAGTTTATGAAAATAACGGTATTCCATAAAGTGTGAACCAAGCCTTTCGGGATCAAGGAATGCAATTCTTCTGATGAATTTTCGAAGTTTATCTACTTCAAAATTCCACTAGGGAAAGGCGATTTCTCGAAAATAACGATATTTTATAAAGTTTCATGGGAAGTCTTGAAGGTGGAGAAATCATCTTGGGTGTGGGTGTGGGGTGGGTGTGGGTGTGGGTGTGAGTGTGGGTGTTGGTGTGAGTGTGTGTTGGTGTGAGTGTAGGTGTTGATGAAAAGGACACCCACACCCCACATCCCACTTCATACCTCACACTCACCCACACCCACACCCTGAGTGGTTGTTGATGCAATGCGCGAAGGAAAATGTCGTACCGTGATTGGAATGAATTTTCTGAAAGTGGCTGACCAATCGAACGTGGCATATGACTACCATATGTTCCAAAAATTTCTCGAATTACCGCAAGTTGATGAGTAGCTAAACGAAGATTGATTTTTTTTAGTTTATATTTAAAAAATGCACTCTACATTATTCATCAAAGGTGATCTTTCGATCAGAATCTTTCTTACAGATGTTATGCTTAAACAATTTTTATAACACGAGATATCTTTTTGAGAGCACCGATTCTTTCTCGAGAAATGTAATCAAACTGACTCATATTCTAACTCATTAAATATATGCTGATTGTCAGAAATATTAAGGACCAATCCACAATCGTCACTAGATATAGGTAATCCTAACTGCACAAATATCCTAAACGCAAATATTCATGCAATTCATGTTATTAAATAATCAGCTGATCGCGTTTTTTAATGCTATTCAGGTCCCAAAATATCAGGATGCGAATTCGCGTCGCCCAGACTCAAAGGGTTAACTAACATTCAATTTCTCTATTTGACTCAATGTTCAAAGGAACAATACCAGCAAATTGCTCCTGACAATCAACCTCATTTAACTCATTGTTTTTTGTTATTAGCACCATGTCAATTTTATGAACGAATTCTTTTTGGACAAGTACGTTTTCCTCATCTTATATCAATTGGTTGTCCGAGAGGTGCTTTCATTTATTTACTGAATACAACACATACTACGAATGGAACAATTCGTCAGCTTCATTTACAATCAACATCACCAGAAATTCTTTGTAAATTTATTGAATATCTTCCTCGTACTACATCATTAACTATTAATTATTTCTATAAAAATTATTCATCTTCTCCAACATTATTTACAAATTCACATATTCGTCATTTAACTATTTTTTATCCTCAATCATCTCAATTGTATCTTGAACAACTTCTCTTATCGGTTGGATTTTCTGATCTCACTTATCTTCGTATAACGTTTGATACGTGTAACTTTCCACAATTAGCTTGTATTCTGACAACATTCTCATGTTTAAAACATATTATTCTTTGAGTAAATACATTTCCTTCAGATTTCATTTTGATCGCTACCCATCTTATAAGTTCTTGGTTTAGATCATTGAATTATGAACGTTTTATAAGTAAATCTAAGCATGAACAAGCTGCTCTAATCAACAACACCAAGATACATTGAAGTTCACATACCAATTCTATTTGAATTTTTTTTTTGATATTTTGATTTTTTATGTGATAGTTTGTCAAGATAATCGTTTAACTCTTTTCAACTAGCATGATGTTGTGAAAGGAAATTGATCTGTCCCATTCTCTGTACTTGTCTTTTTAGCTTATTGAACATAATATATGTGATGAAAGTCATGAAACATGTTAAATATCACCTGAACGGTTATCATTTAAACATTTCATAATCATATGATAACCAATTACGTAAGTAAATATGTGCGTTTCGTCAATTATATTTAGAGACGTATTGATGTCGTCGAAATAAACAAAATCAACCTTCCAGAAATACTACTTATCAGCTAAACTCAACAATTAATTCTAAAAATTTCTTTCAGTGCGTCTCAGTAAGAATCTCCTTCATCATATGAACAAATTATCAATAATAATGTTTATACTGATATGACAAATCAAGGTTAAATTGATTTTTTTCAAGAAAAAAGAAAGTCTTCAATTCTTGTGAATCATGTTTTTATTTAAACATGACTTTAATAAAAATCAACAAAAAAAAAAGAAACGAAGAACAGATTTCTATGATTTTTTTCGTTGATATTTAAACCTTGTTGTTCGTTATTGCATGAAATGCTGCTGTGATCTTGTAATTGAGCACTTGAAGAAATTCGTCGAGATTCTGAAATTTACTGAATGAAAAATATTAAAAACTTATTTCTTTAAGTCAGATGGCAACTCACCCATCATGTGTAACATGATTGTTTGATGTAACTTTAAATTCATCATCAATTTTCTGTTGATACTGAAACAAACATACAATTTATAGATAAAATATTTTTTTATTATATCTTTTACCAGAATATGCACATAAAAATTTTGAAGATCGGTATAAACTTCTAATTGTAAAATAATATTGCCCTTCACGTAATTAATGAAAATGTTTTCATTTTGTTTTTCATAACAAAAAAATTCACTTGGCTACAAGATATAAATAAATATATTAAAGCAATACGATTTTTTACCTCATTTGTATGTTCAACCAGAAAATTCTTGTTTAACATATACCAATACCAGTATAACACAGATATCAGGTATTCTTCACGTTTTTCATAGATCAATATATAATGGCTGTGAATGTACGATAAACTAGGATAATTAGCCATGAAAAATCTAAAAAAAAGTGTTGAAATAAACCCATTATTAGAAACATAAAAAACTCTTCTGCATCACTGTTATTCATATGAACACACAGATACATATGTAATGATAGTAAAAAAAATATTTCTGTGAAAGTTTACTCTATATAAGTTAGTTTATTTGCTGCATTATTTTTATCCAAGTATGGAATTATATTCAATAAAAGAAAATGATTCGTTCTTATATATCAGTTATTTGTCCTCGTCAAAATGATATATCTTTAATATTTATATATAAACGAATAGATCACACTAGTGTGTTTTCTATTAAGTCGGATAGACTTAAGGCTCTGGTACAATCATTCTTTTCTCTTTTCTATAGATGACCTCGATCTGTAGATATTTTTTTCTTTCCTTTGTTTTATTCCTCTTTCGTTTATTCGAGGACATCGAAGGGTTCCACATGTCTATTATATATCCAAATACATATTGTTTTGTGTGCTTTCTTCTTTCTTTGACGGTGTGGGTATGGGTGTGGGTGAGTGTGGGTGTGAGTATGGGTGTAGGTGTGACTGTGGAGAAAGAGAACACCCACCCACACCCACCCACACCCACACACATCCACACCCTTCATATAATGACTTTCAATAATCTGAGGGATTGGCAAAAATTCACTCTCAAAATCTAGGTAGTTTTCAGGAATTATTATGGAAAAAAACTAGGATAATTTAATTTAATTTAAAGATTTATTAAATCATAATGTGCAAAGGATTTATGTTTAAAATAAATATAAGTTTAAAAACAAAATTTTTTAATTTTTTATAAATATAAATTTTCTGAAATTTATATTTATAATAAGTTAAATGTAAATCGATATCCCAAGGTTATATTAAGATTAAGCAATTTTTTTTTCTAGATAAATAAATATGTATCATGTGCTAGATAATTTAAGAAGAAAAAATAGCGAAGTAATCAAAAAAAAAATTGATTATCTTTTCATATTTATTTATGCCTATACTGTCGATGGTTTCCACCAAAACAAGTAAAACAAAATACTTTTCTTAAAAATATATTTTTTATTTTTTCTAAAGATAATCTACAATATAATTGAATGTATTAAACAAAATGGAGATTATTACAAAATCGAATACGAAATTAATGGAAAACATTACTATTGAAATTAAAAAAACCTAGAAAAAGAAAAAGAAACTAGGAGTGTGGCTGGGTGTCTTCTGTTCTAATACACCCACGTTTGGAGCACCTGCAATATTACAATCCGACAACGGGCGTAAATTAATTACCAAAGTTATTGAAGAACTAGCAGCTATGTGGAAATGACTTAAGATCATACATGGAAGAGCACACCATCCACAATCTCAAAGATCTGTTGAGCGCTGTAACCAAAATACAAAACAATTGATCGGTATGTGTAATTCAGAGCGCGGCGTTTTCATGGAAACAATTCAAATTAGGACTCCCTAAACTGTCCACATAATTTTTGGAACTATAATGCATCACAAGTAGAATATGGTGAAATTAATTTAAAAAGTTTTCTTTGGGAATTGCAGGATGCATCAGAACCTATTCCGTTGAACGATTTTGTGAAGAAGAAAAATAAATATTTTCAGTAAGATATTATTCTAAAATACGCATTCGCATTTTTAATATATACATTTGAATATTTGTCTTTTGTAGATGTGAAAAGCTTGAACTTTTAACAGAAACTCCTGATCGATTTTTTGCTGATTTATGCAAAATGTGATGAAGAATTAATTTATATTTCAAATGAAATTTGTCATACTAATTTAATACTTTCATTGACTAATTGATAAAAAGTTATAGAAGAACAATGTCGAAATTAAGTATTAACTTTAAATACATCATAGGATGATGAGAAAGTTCTCGGATTGCCCTATGTTTGTTTAAGGAAACGACATTTCGCCCATTTCACTATCCTATATACTAGAGGGAGTGGTTATGATATTCCACGAGGAGTTTGATCCTTTTAACTTAATCTTGAGGTGTTGTTCCGAAGTGAACGATTTGACCCCTCGGTTATTGCTAGAATCCATCAGATATTTCAACCTTAACAAAATTAAAGAGATTTCTAGATCACGACCGAATTTTATATGATATTAATAATGGTTAACAGACCCGAATTGGGGTGTGGGTGTGGGTGTAGATAAAGAGAAGATCCGCACCCACACCCACACCCAGTGCCGTCAGCATCAGTGTAGTCACTACGGATGGCGAACATTTCGCACTAAGTCATTACGAACTCCTGTCACATGTCCGGGTGTTCGAAAATGATTTTTGTCCCGGACAACGTTCATTACGAACATCCTGTTTTTTTAATTTTTGATTGATTTTTGCATTTCGGACTCTCGTACACATAATTATGGACACCCTGTCTTTTTTTCCTTATGTTCGGAGATCGTAATGAAAAGTTGGTGCGAAATGTCCCTTTCCCATCACTACACCGACGAACGTCAGTGTGACTTTGTCGGTGGACAGTATACTGAAACTACATATCCTTAGGCTAAGGAAACACAAAGTTGCATATCCAAAACTTAATTTTATACATGCAGACATGTTGTCTTTTCTAGCAGAATCATGTGTGTATCTTATTATGTTTCTATAATAACACGCAAAAAAGTGGGACATATATGTCCCACCACCCATCAAAGGGTTAATGATAATATTTCCAGAAAAATACATATAAAAAGTAACCAAGTCAGCGACCATCGATTGGATAACTTCTATTGCAATCAGTCAAACTAATCCTTCATTTAGTCATATCTGTTATTTAATCACTGCCTGTCTGTCAGTAAACAAGAAATTTCATAAGTCTTCGAAACCTGCGTTAGATTTGTATATTGATTGGATGTTTGTTAGAAATGAGCATTAATAATTAAATATATAAGTGAATTGCAACTTTTTAGTAGGATTAGGATTTTAGCTGTATTTCCATAATAACTTTTGTTCTCATCGACCAATTTGGACAATTTTTTTATATGTTATTATTCTCTGTATGCTCCACTACTACACCAAATTTTAGCTCTTTAGCTCATACCATCGAGTATCTATAAATCTCACATTGTGAAAAAATCGTATTTGATATGAAGATGTGTTAAGAAAAGTGTATTTTCTTCGTATAAAAAGGAGGAGAAAAAATTTAATCCATAGTCCATTTTGTACAGCTTGAAACGTTCTTTCAAATGATATACTTCCTGTATTTCTTTCTCTTTCTTTTCACATAAATTTGCTTCAAACACATAATTACAGACATTTATTCATTTTCGCGTAGACTCACCTTATTTTTTAATTTTCTCCGTCTGACTACGATTTGATTAAGAATAAGTAGCCACGACCGGTTTCGACCTTGCTTAAGGGTCTCATCAGATCGCTTTCTTCAAATTCAACATCATAAAATGACGATGAAATTGCAATCAACCTCTAGAATAGAGGAGATAGAGTAGTAAAACTTTGATGATGAATTTGAATAAAGCCATCCGATGAGACCCTTAGACAAGGTCGAAATCGGTCATGACTACTTATTCTTAGTGTGTTCACCCTCACCCTGAAGATTTTTCGATGATATTTTAAGAGATGATTGGAGTACAGTGGAGCTATATATGCTCAAAGTTTCAGCTTAATCTGCTCAGACTTCACTAGAGAACGAGCATAGGCATTCAATGATTCCACAATCATTCTTATTGTGAAGGATTACTTCAACTTCGGTTTTTATATAAACGTGTATCCCATATGAACCTCTATCGATTGATGAAACTCGCAAGTCTCTACCTCGTTCCTGGTTCGAGTTATTCAAAAAAACAGTGACGGACATTCTATTTTGAAATGGATAGTAGTTCTAACTGCCTCTATTTTCTTTGTTCTCACCTTACCTCGATTTATCTCAAGTTTCAACTATTGCGTTAATCATTTACATTCGCTTGCAAAATCCTATTCTTCTCTTTTTTTCAAAGAACAGGATCAGGATTAGAATACTATCGTTAATGAGAGATTCTCCATCTGGCAAACACACTTCATGACTTAAAAAAACAACAAATAACGATGGTTGGCATATATATATATATATATATATATAGACGACGTCAAAAGCAAGAAATCTGCATTTCTTTTCGTTAAAATGAATACAGGACTATTTTTCTTCTTCATCATCATATTCATTACAGTCGGTACGTGTAGTTGAACAATAATATGGTCTTTCTGATAATGTAATGTGAAGCGACCTCTTTTTAGTTTCTGGAGTAACAGTTCGAGTGAAGAACAATTGTTGGTGGCCTCTAAAAGTTCACATTGGCAGTGGTGACGGAGGTCGTTGGATAGACCCTGGAAGAGATAGTTGGGGTAATAATGGTCGATCCGATCGCACTTGGGCCGAACAGTCTGGTATTTGGGGTGATGACACACTGGCTGAGATTAATGACGACAATGGTCGTATTTGGTACGATATTTCTCTGGTAGATGGTTTTACCTATCCGATGGCTCTAGTTCCAGTTGGAGGTGGTGGAGGCAACCGTCGAAATCTGTACTGTCTAGGTTGGAATGTTCTCAATGAGTGTCCTGACAACTTGAAGGTCTGGGTAAATGGGCAAGTCAAAGCATGCAAAAATCATTCGGTTAATCCAGGCCATTTCAAGGTTCGGTGTCCAGATGCCTATTCATGGTGGGGAGATGATCAGTCTTCCATGGCTGATACCTGGCATCCTGATCATATCGAAGTTACCTTTTGCCCATAAATCTTCTGTAAATTCGTCTTTTTTTTGTCTATTATCAGACTCATGATGATAATTGTTGATCGCGTTGTTTTTAGTATGCAATAGTCTAGTTACACAACAGGAAGCAATTCATGTTTACTCAAAGAATGACTGAAGATGCTCCTCTTTTGTATTCTCTTATTGTGAAACAATGTTTCTCAGTTAGTCGATGATTTGCGACAAATCTGAGGCAACATTGCCAAGGAGTAGTTTATCGATTTCAATGAGTGTATGATGAGCGTAGAATAATAATATTCATCTCCTAGTGTCTTATAGCCAATCGGTTGGACGTTGCACGATGGTATTATTTAGATCTAGCGCACTATTTCGAAGATGAATCCTGTTGAGATCAACGGTAGTAATTGAATATAATATATTCATAAAACTTTGCATTTCGATCAAGTGTGAAATAGTTGGAATAGTGTTTGGTTATAGTAGCCATATGGTGTACTTCTCTAATCTGTTCATTTTATATGGAAACAAAGAAATAAGTGGCGTTGTCTTACATTACTCTCCTATAGGATCAAGCGATTGAAAACAGCCTATTATTGATTTCGATAATTGGTTGCTAGACGAAGTCCAATGCTATCTTCACTACGATCGTAGCGGCAGATCGTATTTTGGTAGCTTCAGTTCGATGCAAGGAACGTTACCACTTTTTATGCATTTTCACTTTCCTTTTTAATGGTTTTCTCCGTCTTGCTGGGAGCACCACAAGCCAACAATGAATATCTTAGGAAGAATAATGTCACTTTTATGACTTATAACATGATTTCATCAAGGAAAAAACCATAAAAGCTTTCATTTATGAATCATCTACGTTTCGTTCACTCGTACAAAAGTTTCGATTCCTTAAACTGGAAGAAAAACTAGCAAAATACAACAAGATTACAACATCAACTCAACGATCATGTGCGACTACAAAATGGCGTCAACTGTATTTGGAGATTTACCTCCTGAAATCATTATACAAAACTTGTCCCATTTTTCACTTCAAAAATTGATAGCTTCGTTCTTTGGTTTGAGTTCTTACATAGACACAATTATTTGCTCTCTGCATGTTGTGAATCATACAGTAACGAACAATGAACGAAATTCTATCATCCTTCTACATTTGTTTTCCAACCAAATCTGTCGTCTAGTTATTCTACGTTCTCAAACGGTTGCTTTGACATCGTTGATTAATCTTCGTTCGCTTTTCTTGAAATATAGAACACATGAACAATTCGATGCTATCCGTCCGCAAAATTCTCCAATGCTTGAAATTCTGTATATTTACTCGTGTGAGTAAAACACAGAATGATGCGATTAGTTATTTGTGGCAAATGCTTCAAAGTAATGCTGGATGAGTTGTCTGAATTTTTATATTTTGAAAGATTCTTTTCCTAATTGAAGAAGCTTCTTTCATAAAATTCAAATAATTCAAAGAAAAGAAAAATTAGTTTGACTAACGTAATGAAAAATTAATTCAAAATAAAATAATAAAGAAAACAAATTAATACGGGCACGAATTTGAGTGTGGTGACTCCGATGTGGCTGAAATGAATAATCACATACTCGCACTCTACTAATTAGAATCGTATGATGGTTATTTCATTTTGTAAATTTTCTAATAAAAGTAGACAATATTTAAATTCTTGCTATCGTACTTCTTATTATATTTATAGGAGCTTTATGTTATGCAAAAAACATTTGAAACAGACTTGAATAATTTTGTTTTATTTTTTCAAATTTTATTTATTTCAATATAAAGCAAGAAAACCATTGTAAGCATCTTCCACTTCAACGATCATTGAGTGCAGTTGATGATGACCAATTAAGAGTAGTACGAATTTGCTGTCGTAAACAATTTAATCCATCCGATTACTATCATGCTAGAATAAAAAATGATGATAATGAGAATATGTGCTAGTGTGAGTAGGGTGGTGTTAGTTGACTAAATACCCATCCACACTAATTCACATTCTGTCTTTCAAAAATCAGGGATATCGCTCGTCAGCACACGCTTTAAGTGCCTATCTCTTAGATTTCATGCATTCGATCTTTTTTCTCTTTGATTAATAGAATTTATTCATTCAACAATTAAAAAAAGTTCGTCGATGTAAGAAATTGAAGTTATCATTGCTGTACCGAAAGTCGTTTCAACTGATTTTCTGATTTTCATATAAAGACATCCTCTGAACAATGATCTGACAGTCTGATGACCGGACTAGGAGTAGACAGTTACCATATCAAGTCAGAATATCTTCTCTTCTCTAATTATAACATTTACCTTTACTAGTGCTTGAATATCATCCTAAAGAGTATCAACATAACAACCAATCAATCGCAAATCAAATTTAAGTAATAAACATGCTTACAGAATGAAGTTGACCAATTTCGTATTGTTTCATTTTCTTACGAGCATATTTGCTGTGCTTGTTATTTTCAAAAGGGACCGATGCATCTTTTCCATGGTGTTGTCTCAAAATTTGTTGTCCACCAGGATGCTAAAAGAAACAGATAGAATAGTGTATTGATCAGTGACGAACTATCGACTAACCGCAGTGAGGAATGGTGTCACATTGTATACACGATTATTGATTATGACAATACATTTATTGTTATCCTGAAGAAGTTCACGAACTTCCGCCATAGTAAGAATTTTGCTATCAGTATCGTTCTCCATTAATGTCGGCCACAAGTGCGATGAAGCGAAAAGAGACAATGTAGATCTATAATAATGATACAATGATCTATATTCTCGTGAAACGTAGTACAACTTTTGATTCTGAAAGTGTTCGAATCATTTTTTTTTCTAGAGTTCCACTCTCAAAATATTTGCACAACGAATGCCTTTTATTAAGTATTCTCGTTCTTGTAATTAAGCTAAAACGATGCGAACATTTTCAAAGTTTGTAATATCAGATAATTTCCATTCAATCATTTTGAGTCGCAAACATTCAAAAGTTACACAATTCGTTCCACGAAAACATGAATCATACGGCATAAACACTTGCTGACTGTCAACTAATAATTCTTATTCACTTTTTGTTATATTTTAGAAAAATGAGAATAACCAAAGCGAGATACTCTAAAAAATTAAGGCACATAATATGTGTAAAGACGAGACAGGTTATTTGTTTACGCAATTCAGTTATCAATCGATGAGCAATGTTAGAAACTCACTTTTGTAAATCTTCTCTTATTAATTGATATACACACCAAGGAAATAAACATTTGGCGGCATATGCGTTGCCAGGACATTTTAACTTCTATACAATAAGTCTGGATACAACATGAAAACTCATATTACTCACCTTTGAAAAACTATTGTCAAATTGGAACACACGTTTTCAAATCTGCTGCTAAAAATGCTTTTGTACAAGTGAAAATCTAATTTTTGAACGCTATATGTAACAATCCAACCTAATATATGAATTATTGTTTATGCTTCATTGAAACGACCAAGATGCCTTTTTCTGTCTATTATTTATCCATATTTTTGTCTTTTCATCTCTTCCTTCTCCTATATCGACATTCTTCATATATCCTTCTCTCGTATATAATGTTATCCATAATTGTAACATAACTTTTGCTTTCCTTTACATTTGTCTTTACATCCTGTATTTTTTTTCTTATTGTGTTTACTGTATTCTTCATGATCCTTCTATACTTAGACATAGCATATAAGGAACGAGAAAAATACAGTATAGTATGCTTGACTCGAAAAAACCTTTAATGGATAATCATTATGATATTCTGATTATAGTTCAAACAAATTTCTACACATCTGTTCGTTTTATGGTATTTTACAATAGAGTCACATTACAAGAAAATACAAAGATGGGAAAAGTTGAATATTTCAATAATTTAAGTTTCTATAAAATTTCAAGAACTTTTGAATCGAGGCTGTGGATGTGGCTGTAGGTTGCGTATGAGTAGACCAACATCCCTCGCCCACACCCACACCCAAAATTGATTCAACGATGCATAGAAAAAAAAAGAACCTGCAAGATACTCGGCTTCTTTCCATTACCATTAGCTTGTCAAGATCCATTTCTTACAGAGTTTCCCTTTCATCTTAAAAGAAATAGATCTTTTTAAAAAACTATTTGAGAGATCGTCTATAGCTCATTATCATGTGTTCTTTTGAAATGAAGTGAGAGCAAAATAATTCGAGAACTTCTCTAGAAATCGTTTGGCTTTGACTTCGGTTAACTTTTATGATACAAAAAGTCCTTGTCCGATCGATAGAACTGGTCACTGACGTGAAGAAATCCTTCGATGAACAATTCAGTGCAAAATTTTCTCATATTAAAGATTGAAAGCCTATTAGTTCGCTTTTTCTCTATCAGAAAAAAAGTAATTTCGGCATCCAACTTGAATATGTTTATATGTGGGAATACACTTAATGCAAAGGAAGAAAAAGATATATATGGAAAAGAAAATGATGAAAGAAGTCTACAAGTGTAATGACAAGTGTTTTTCTACGAAACTAATTGCCTAGCTTATGAAAATTTTACGCTCTCTCAATACATATAATAAGACACAAATTGAAGAACCCAAGCAATTTCATCTTTGATAAACACATCCTACAGTCAGTTACGAACACGTATAAAATAAATTTCACTATCATTCAGTACGTGAGTATAGCTTGATTTTCAATTTATTTCAGAGACGTTTCATGAGATAATCAAGCAGTTTTTAACAGGACTATACTGTTTAAAAAATGGATTTGCCAACTTTTATTATTGTACTTTAACTTGTAATTGAATTTTGTTTAATTGAAAAGCTCAAGACATTTTCATATTACTAATATATCATTTCAACAATGAAGACTATGGAGTAATTGTTTAGTCACATATACTACTCAGTCGACGGTGTCGAAAATTGACTCCAAAAATAAAACAATAAATTGTTTTTGTTGGCAACGAGAGATACTAAATGTAATTTTTTTTCTGGAAACATTTGCCATATTTTTTTATTTGTTTTTTGTTTTTGATTTGTATGCTGCCTCTAGAAAATCGAAATCAAACTTTCGAGCTTGCTTGAATATCGTATTTTCAAGAAAATAAAAAATTCATTATCAAATCTATATGGGCAATCCTAGGATATCCTTTTTGCATTTTGTAAAACTTGTTTTCTATTGTATCGTGCGGATACAAAAACCATGCTGAACAACTACGAAAAACTTATTGACAAAAATGATTTTTCGCGACTGCTCTGCATCATGCCTAGTGAAAGAAAATGATGTCTTATATAGTAGTGTCTGCTTCACATTATCTATCACCTGTATTTCATTCACAAGAAGTATCAGTTGTGTACGTCAGTATTGTATCTGTTAGTATTATTACCGCGCACTTGGTTTTTGGGAGGGTCATATCGTATGGAATATTTATATATCAGTTGCGACTAATATATCGTGATGTTTTTGTCTCTCTGGTGTGTTGTATCACGCAGTAATAAAACGAGTGATTTTATATTGATTTGTGGTTATCTTTAGAATTGCGACTATTCAGCGTATTATTTCATTGTTTTTCGTTTATTTCTTGCCACTTGTATCATCTTTTGAATGGAAAATATACTAGACAAAATTAATATCGATGGTATCATCGAACAACTACTGAAATGTATGTCTTCTTTTTGTTTCTTTTTTTTATCTGCCATTCGCTATATATATTGTAGTTCGTAGCATGAATGTTCACTTGAATGAAAAGAAAATGTGTGATTAGTTAAAATTGAATTTCAGACCAATCTATTCTATTTTTCTTCGCTCATACTAGGCGATATTAAAGGTAGATTGAGTGTTTATTTCAATTTTCTTGCATTCAATAATGCACAGGTCAATATTACGATCTGTTTCGTCTGTTTGAATTCGGTGACTTTCCACCGAAATCGAATTATTTGTTTCTTGCGGGGCTATATCGATATGGGAAAACTATCCTTTGCGGTAATTTAAGCGTGATCGAAAATATGAAGAATGTTTTTAGGTCTAGGTTCCAATCTGCTATCAATGGAACAAATTCGGCGTATTGTGAGACCGACTGATGTGCCCGTTCAGGATCTTTTATGTGATTTCTTGTGGTATGTTTGCTTTTATCAAACATTCTATTTACTTATTGTTGTTGTATTCACAAAAAGGTCAGATCCCGATAAGAAATTGAACGGTCGAAGTGGGAGTCATTCACGTTCGGTGCCAAAATCATATCAAAAGTTTTGAATAAATATAATATTGATCTTATTTGTCGGGCTCATCAAGTTTCTTAATCGGCTTCGCAAAAACTTGCAGCTCAATTCCTACTGGATTAAAACGTGAAACACGATGGAGTCGTTTTCATCTGATACGGTCTTTCATATGGTCAGAAACACCAGATGGCAAAAGGAAAAATAGTCTGTATGGCTTCAGGGTGTGAGTGTGGGTATGGGTACGGGTATGAATCTTCTCTTCAACAAAACCTACACTCACACTCTCAAGATATCAGTATTGAAAATCTCTCTTTTTTTAGTATTAATTAATGCATCTTCATTAGATCTGTTAAATGCACTATCATAGAACAAGATTCCCAAAGATAAATCGTGCCTATGAGGTGTCTAATGTGTGATCTTTTACGCAAGAAATAGGTAAAAATTTGCTACGTTCGATTTAATACATTAAAAGAATCTAAAGGAATTCGTTCAGTTTTCAATGGGCATTCTAATGCTCTATTTGAAAACAGAAAATAATGAAAAAATGTATTCTATATTTATTAATTAATGATCATTGGTGATAATTAATACTTGTTTCAATATTTGCTTATCACAACCAATACCTTTTAAAGAAAATATTTATCCTAAAATGTAGCCTGTTTAATTATGCATCTAACAGTATATAATCAAATATTTTTTCTTTTTTATCAATAATGAAAAAAAATCTATAAGATAATAAAAGTGTTTTAAACTTTTAACTATAGGAAAAAAAATAGTTTTCTGCTCTTTCTCTGAATCATATATGTGTAAATCAGCCGGAAATAATTATTTCGGTTGGGGCCTATCGTCAGTAATACATATAATTCTAAAGATCCATTTCACTGGCATATACTTTCAAAGATATTAAAAAAACAAAAAATGTCTTAAACTTTTGTACTTCACTATAGGTTTCTTGAAAAAGAAAATTATCAACTTTAACAAGTCAAAACCAAATCGATAATATTGAATTAGAACAATTAACACAAATCTGACGTTTAATAAATTTTAGGTCAGTATTTCGAGTAAGCCAATAATGAATATCAAGGTTAGTTAAATTTTTATCTAGTCCATCATAAAAGAATCTTGTTGAAAAACTTATTAAATAAGACCAAAATCGACGCTTAGCATTAATATAATCATAGACACTAAATAATGTCTGAAAGCACGCAAGAAATAAATTTTCATTTGATGGAAATAATAATTCTAAATATTTAACATAAGGAAATTGATGAGCTAAATTTGAGATTTCTTCTGCATCAGTTAAACGATATTGAATAACTAAATGACGAACAAAAGGTTGAACTATTATATTTGTTGCACTTGTAACTAAAATAAAATTATTAAAAATCTCATTATTTGATAAAGATGTCTTACAAAGAGGTTTTGTAAAAATTATTTTACGAATACGTTCAGGTAGTGCAATATCAATTGATATATCAATTGTTATCTTACGTACTCGATGAAAACATGTCTTCAATTGAATTAAATCACTTGATTTTGTTATCAATACATGATCTATCCATTCAAATATTTTAACATCTGTATTATATTCACCTTTAACAATAGGTAATTGTCTTTTATCATCTTTATTTGAAGGCCATGGTAATGAATATATATGAACCCATTTAAAATCTTTATTTTCATTGAAAACAAAACGCATTGACCATTGAGTAAAATCGTCAATTAAGATTTGATCAACAGATCTATGTGTCATTGTATAATCAAATTGACGAAGTTGTGGTAAATATTCATTCAATATTGATTCTAAATACGGACCATGACAAAATATTGGATCAGGTGTATCACGAATACTTAATGTTAATTTGATTAAATTTGGCATAAAAGGAAGAATAGATTTAATATTATCAATATTTAATTCAATAGAAGAATCTAATAATGTAAATTCAGTTAATCGAAGACATGATAGTAAACTTTCTGGCCAAATATAAGCTAGAATTACATTTGAAAGAAAGATAATATTTGGAATGTTAGTAACAAAGGGTGCTTTTACCGATAAGTGTAGAGAACAGAAATTGATCGAAATCATAAACATATTTCTAAATTCATTAGCAGTAGTATCGATTTATTTTGTATCTTCTTCTGTTTGAGAAAGGTTTTCATAAGAAAGGAAACAATAGTTGCACAGTTCACTTTCTCTTTTTTCGTCATACAATAAAATGTTTCTAATCAAAAGAACTGAATTCGAAGATTTTGAGTAGGGATGTGCTGAGCCCGAACCTCTTGGTCTCAATCAGCGTTAGTTAGATTCATTGTTGATCACAATCACTATTACATAGGATGACCAAGCTCCATACATTCCTAGTAGATAGATGGGTAAGCGCACGCGGCTAAGTCATCACCGCCGCCGAGAGAAAATTTTTTAAAATTCTCAGCTGTCACCGAGACAAGGAAAAATTCGAAAACTTTTCTAATTATTCAAATATTTCATCGATACTTTCTTGTTTCAATAATTCTACGAATACTTACAAAGTATACGTGGTTGACTTAATTGTATAATCATTTTTTGTACGTTAGGTACAAGTCCATCAAGTAATACATATAAATCATCGATTGTTTCTACTACAATATCAATATAACGAAGATTTTCATGAGGTATTAATATTTTAAATAATGTAATTCCATCAGGTTCATTAACAATAATTGTCTGTAACGAAGGCATTCGTCTGGTAAATAAAAATCGATAGACTGATACATCATATCTTTCTGTTACAGGTCATTCTAAACATAAAATTAGAATTTCTGCTATTATTAAATTCAGTTTCCAATAGAAATGCGTAAGTTCAATATTTTTGAAATCGGAATCAATATTGCCTATCTCTAATTGTAAAATAAACTACAAATACTATCTTTCCGAATCTATAGAAATTATGAATAGATCTATTTGCTTTATTTCAAAACATTTTTCATCATTTGAGTGTATTCATGACATAATTTTATCGATTGACTTACTAAGATGTTCATCAGTATTTCGAACAGTAATATTAAGATACTGAAGCTGTATCATATTCGTGTAATATATTTCAATTATATCAAGATCTTCTGAAGAACAATCGATTAATGTAAGACTTCTAAGATTGTTAAATATTGATCGAATTATATCCGTACATATTGAAGAAAAATAACGTTGAATTATAAAAGATACACCTTCATTAGTTAATATTAATGAATGAGGTCGAAGAGGATTTTTGGAATAAATAAATAAAGCTAATAAATAATTATATCCACTATTAGGCACTCCATCAAGTTTGATTTTTGTATAATAATCAGAAATAGCATGATGAAGATGTAATTCAGGTTTTTCAGGAGTATAAAATGAATAAAGAATATCAAGCAGAAATAAATAACGACAAATGAAAAGTAAAATTTCATTTGGCAAATCAAGTAAACAAGTAACATGACGATGAATATGTTTTACTGACAATGAATCAAATTCTAGCAAAATAAAATCATTCGTCAATATTAAAAAAAAAAAAAGCTTTGTTATTTCAAAATAAGATGAGAGATTTTATGATACTTACCAATATCATCAACAACACACTTTTTACCTTTGCTCATAGACATTTTTAGTCTAATACAACTTTAAAGCACAAAAGCTATATCGACCGTTTTATTGTTCAGACATCTGACAAAACATTCTTTATATAGGTCATACAGACAAAGCCTTGTTTGATCGTAGCATATACGTATATCATGTCCTACCTATATTATTTTATAATATAGACAACGATTAAAAATGATTGGTGAAGGAGTTTATGTGATAAAAAGGTTAAACGTTCGTAGTCAGCATGAAGATAGAGTTGATATTTCACTGACTACGGTATATTTCTCTAATTCTGTCGGAAAAATTTTGCCACTTTTTGTTTCAATTACCAGTCGACTATTTTACATCGGATCAAAAGTATTTTTAGATATCGGTAATCTCTGAATTCCCCTCTTTCCAACGAAATATTGTTCGTCTTTTATTTTTCACCTTTTCATTAAGAAATCATCAGTCTGCGAAAAACACTTGCACCCGACAGAATTGTAGTTTCCTAATTATGACGGTCAGTAAAAAAAATTTCCTAATTCTGGCGCTCCTAACAAATTACATAGAAAAGTTCAACTTTACGAAAAAAAGTATTTTGGGTATGGGTGTGGTCGTCTCTTGATCGATACTCACACCCACTCATACCTACATACATTCGCATCCACACTCACATCATTCACACCTACACCCTATGCTCGCGGTTCCACAGCCAAGCATAGTTGTAATTTTTGAGACAGGACATGCCTATGAAGAACAACTTTTTCTGCTCTACCAAATATCATTCAAAGAGGAGTGGATGTTTAAGCATGGACTAAATGAATTGAGAATTTATACGATATTTGCTTAAAACTATTGTAACACAAAAACAAATTGGTTGATATATTAACTTTCTTCTTTTGTTCACTTGCTTCCGTTCATAAAAAAAAACTCAATTTTGTGTAGCCAAAATTGAGATTTTAAATTTGACTGAGATTATATTCGGGAAAATAGAATGTCAATTTTGTTTAGATTAAAATTAAAATTTCAATTTTGACTGAATTTTAATTTTGACCACAACATGTATATACATGTTGTTGACTCAACAATGTATATTAACATTATGGTTTGTTTTTGTTGATATAATATCTTTTCTTCTCTCCGCCGCTAGCAACCGAACAGCTCAGCCTTCACACACTTTCTTTCTCTTTTTTTTTCCTTTTCATTGTTCCTATGGGTTGTGAAACATGGTCATAAGATCAAAATAAATGTATAGAGAGTAAAATATAAGAGAAAAAAAGGAGGGTGGCACACGTGAATGGTTCGAGATTTTAAATGAGAAAAGACAAAAAAAAAAGAATTATTGATTATTATTTTATGAAGCAACTACTTTTTTTGGTACTTCATCCTTTGTTTTTTATGATTTAGTGTAAATGTTTCTAAGGAAAAAGAAACCGTTACAACATTTTTTTCTGTTTATTCCAGATTGCAAAAATATCGATCAATTGATTGACGACAACTGTAGGGACGAAGATCGTCCAATGTGTGTTGATCTAGTGTGTGGGTGTGAATTAGGAGAAGACCAACATCCACACCCACACTCTTCTCTAAATTACTGTAGATGAAATTTTTGACTTACACACATCTCAGCTCGTGAGACATGAATTTTCAGTTTTTTCCGATTTTTGAATAGAAAATTGAAGTTTTCCTCCTTTTTTCCTACATGTTACGAGCTATAGAGCTAAAAATTTTTAATCGATACTTCGATCAAATTGGAGTTCGTGTTTTTCTTAATTCTTAAAAATATTGTTCCTAGTGAATTTTTGTGAGTTTTACAAAACTAGTATCATAAAAAAAACGCATTTAGATGTGTCCCATGTGCTTTTAAGTTTTACATGGATCTTGATGATTCTTATGGGATCAATAAAACTATTATTTAAAAAAAAAGATTTGTTACGTTTGTTTTGGCTCCAATTCCTCCTTGTAACTACCAAGGATTTAAGACCCAATGAATGCAATATCAATTAACAAGAGAGAGAGAAAGAATCTTGTTTAAACATGTACAACATAATTATTATGAATCACTCCGATTTTGGCAAATTCACTATCCTCAACGCTGTTATTTTAACATTGATAATCAAACTAGTTTTCAAGTATTTAATCAATACCGACTGAAATGTAAATATTTATATAAAAAGTTCGATTCACATTTAAATCGTGGTGAAATGAAAATAAGAATGTTGTCCCTCGACTGTTTTATCTTATGATCTTTTTGAGATTCTTCATCCATCTTTCTAACACATTTTAGACTATCGACTCTTGTGTAAAATCGAATTTCAAACAACATGAAAAAAATTTCCGACTTGATTTATTTTTATTTGTGCAGTATTTCTTTAAATAAAATATATCAGCATTCATATTTTTATTTACTTTCATCAACACAACTTCAATAATTTCAATCAAGTAACTATAAGTTCGAACCAATAATTCAATTCCTTTGTCAAATAATAAAGTAATCAATCTTGTATAAATAGCATTAGAAAATATGAAACCTTTGCATGACATCAAGCCTACTTTCTTGTATTTGTCCGAAAAAGACATCCAATAATTAAGTTTGAAGTTTCATGTAGGTTGCCTTTGTTAGTGTATGAAGTAAGCGAGCTGCAGGCATGCAGTATGTAGAATAAACAATCTAGAAAGTTTGTCTTGAAAGGTATAGAAAACTACATTGATGAAAGTTGCAGATAAAATACATGCAAAGATAACCGACAGTAAGCGTTCTTTATAATTCTTCCCTCAGATTATGATAGAATCTAGGTAGTCAACTATCATCGAAACCTCGCATTGTCAAATTATCTCGTCATCGATCAGCTAAAATATCGACGGCACACATCCGACCCAACACTATCATTCGTACAACTATTGGATCATCGAACAGGCCAAGTATCACAAGCAATCAAATTCGACCAATAATCACTGACAATTCAAATGAAAGATCAAAAAATAAAAGATATTCAATCAGTGTGAATAAAATTAAACGATCTGGCCATTCATACCCGCAAGTAAAACAAATGATATATTAATTTTTCGATGTTTTATCGTTTCGATCATAGTCATCTCGGAGTCGATTGGAAAGTGACAACGAAAAAAATCATTCGCAACAACAAAACAATGATTCAACACACATCAGTGAAGGAAAGAACACTCCGGAAAAAAATTTAGATAGAATATTCTTATCAGCTAAAAAAGATCAGGATCAGGTGAGTATTATTAGAGATGATTTCCATTTAGCGATAAAATTTATTTTTCGTAGAATATTACTCGTGATGCATGGTCAAGTGATAGTCGGAGTTATTCAAAAGTAAATATTCATTTCATTTTTTTTTTCTATCTTATCTTTGTCTCTCTTGTATGAAAATAGAGTGCTGATAGATGGCCGAGTCAAATGAATTTTAAAAATGAATCTCGTGAAGAATTAAATAAAGGAAATAGAAAAAAAAGAGAAAAAGGAGCGTAAGTGTTTTCTCATGTACTCTTAATACATATATGACATTGATGCGGATATTTTTAGTGGCAATCATTGTCGATGTTCACGCTTGTGTATATTTTTTTCCTTAGCTGCTGTTATTTTGCTTGGTGGAGCTATTGCTGCAGCTCTTATTTCATCTCTGAGCACGTCGAAAACGGCAACAAGTAAGATGCATAATCTTTAATTCGAGAAGAGTTAGCTGTTCTTAAACTTTTATCTACCATCTTAATGATCGAACAAGACAGAAGAGCACATCTTGTTTTGTTTCAATTCCATGAGTTCAGAAAAATTTAGTCGAAACTATGTTCAAGTGCATGAGAGATGTGCACTCTTAAGAAAGAATATATATCAAACGTTACGAGACCCTGCTAGTTTTATTAACTCATTTTGATACTAATCTGTGAAATTGAAAAAGACTTCTCGAGTTACTGTTGATCGCGACTACGCTGCCAGTCGAAAGGACTCTAGTGCAATGACTGTTACCCTGCTATCGTCCTTTGCATTGCCCTCGTCTCATTTTTCGGCGCGGTATACGTCTCTGAAGCACATTTTATTACAAGAACAGGCAATATCGATCGAATTACTAAATGCGCTCTAACAAGAGCCGATTGAAATATTTGGTTTTCGAAATCTTTTCATTTTTGTCTATCTGAAATGTGTAAAGCAACTATTTATTTAACGAGGCGCTTATTGAATGTGTTCAGATTTTGAGATCCATTTCTCAGGTTATGAAATATTACTCATAATAGCAGTCTGCCTATAAAATGTGTTTCTCTCTGGGAGAGATATGTTCTTATAAGTAGAACTTTTTAAGTATTGACATCGACGACAACGATGGATACGACAGGCAATATGACAAATCAGACAACAACGGAGTCAACCACTATCAGCAGTACGACAACTCAAACAACAACCGACACAACCACTATCAGCAGTACAACAACAGATACAACCACTACCAGCAGTACAACAACTCAGACAACAACAGGTACAACCACCACCAGCAGTACCACAACTCAGACAACAACAGATACAACCGCCGCCAGCAGTACGACAACTCAGGCAACAACAGAGACAACCACCGCCAGCACGACGTCTAGTACTACCTCAACCACCACCGCCAG